AAGCACTAATTTTAGTTATACTAATTTATAAGGTATTGAACAAATATAGGAGGGAGATGATAAGATAATTTAGTTAGATAAGGTTGGATGGATACCTGTGAGATAAGGAATATACAGATAACATTAAAGTCTTTGAGGTTAAAAGAGAAAGTAGAATAGGAGACATTCCAAATTAGGTCACAAGAAATAATTGATAGTTAGTTTGAAATTGGAAGTAGAGGAGGGGAGGATGGATTCATGCAAATAAGCGAAAGTAAAGAATGGGGGTGATGGAAAAGTGGAGAATGTCTGGATGGATGGGTGGATGAATAGCAAAACACACGTGTCTTTGGTGTATAAACAAAACAGAGACACTATTTCCCTACTCACATGGAAAATACCCAAACAAAATTCAAGGTTTAGAAGAAGTTGCAGTTATTCTGTTTATCATAAGTGGTAAAGGGTATCGTCGGGGTGTGTTTGTCTGAGTACACTTCACAAGATTACAGAAGGAATTCTGGAAGTGAGGAGGAAGTTATCAAATACTTTATCAACATGAAGAAATCACACGATGAATTGGACAAAAATGGTCTTCGTGGGAAATTTTAACTTGGCATGGGATCAAAAGAAAATCCTTACGATAATTATAAATCTTCACCTTAAGTGTGGGTGCATCTTATAATTCACAAATGATCGAAATCAAAATACAGTTGAATATAAATGAAAGATTCTCAGAAGCTGTTAAAGAGTTTTGTATTCAAGAAGTACTACATCAGCAAAGAGTGTATAAACTAGATAGGTGTACGGCAAGGTAATGTTCTACCCACCTTTGGCTGCTCGGTGATGATAGGGGGGGGGGGGGAGTCTGTGACACGAGAGTGGGAATGGGTTATTGTAAGGTTAATTTTAGGTGTCGCAGAATGCAAGGGTAGATGGATGTAGATATTAGTGGTGGGGATAGATGGATGTAGATATTAATGGTGAGGGTAGGTAAGTAGATGATAGTGGTGAAGGTAGATAATAGTGGTGAGGGTAGATTAAGTATATATTAGTGGTGAGGGCAGATGAAGTAGATATTAGTGGTGAGTGTAGATGAAGTAGATATTAGTGGTGAGGGTAGATGAAGTAGATATTAGTGGTGAGGGTAGATGGATGTAGATATTAGTGGTGAGTGTAGATGAAGTAGATATTAGTGGTGAGTGTAGATGAAGTAGATATTAGTGGTGAGGGTAGATGAAGTAGATATTAGTGGTGAGGGTAGATGGATGTAGATATTAGTGGTGAGGGTAGATGAAGTAGATATTAGTGGTGAGGGTAGATGGATGTAGATATTAGTGGTGAGGGTAGATGGATGTAGAATCAGTGGTAAGAGTAAGAGTTGATGAAGTTCACATAGACGAAGCCAGACTTTTCAGGTCAGTGTAGATCAGGCAAAATATATATGTTATTATAAACGAAGCCATGTATTAGTGACCAAGGTAGATGAAGCCAGATATATGTGATCAAAGTAGATGAAGCCACATATATGTGATCAAAGTAGATGGAATCAGATATATGTGATCAAAGGAGATGGAGTCAGATATATGTGATCAAAGTAGATGACGCCAGATATAAGTTATTAAGGTACACGAGGCCAGATATGTGTGATCAAAGTAGATGAAGCCAGATATAGGTGATCAAGGTACACGAGGCCAGATATACAGTATGTAATAAAGACAGATGAAGCCAGATAAATATTATCAAGGTAGAAGGACCCAGCTATAAATTATCAAGGTAGATGGAGCCACCTATCTAATGTCTATGGGTAAAAATGAGTTTGGTTTTGTAGAAACAGAAGCCAAAGTGCAACTCTGTCAAGGAAGACAAGCTGGGGTCCTTACTGACCTTTGTGAGGTTAACAGGAAAATATATTTATTACGATTTATACAATAATCTACTTGAAGGAGAGAGAGAGGAGCGTGTTCCTATTCCCGCTGTTATGGTTGTCTGCCTAATAGATGTCTCAGAGAACAAACAGGTGTAAGAAACAAGAGGAATGAAAGAAAAATTGTCGGGAAAGGATTCACAAATTGGAGTGAGATAGAAGTAGAGAAAATTTGATGAGAGAGGGAGAGTGATTAAAGCTCCCTCCTTTATTAACCTCATGTTATCATCAGTAGGTGGACAGAAAGAACGAATCTGTTGATCTGATTTCCATATATTTGAGTAAGTTGAGGATAACAGGATATTATTACTCAAGTCGTACAGCTGATGAATGGCACTGAAGATAATGACCAATTGATACATAAAAAGTACAGATTCTCATGACAGTAATATATATATATATATATATATATATATATATATATATATATATATATATATATATATATATATATATATATATATATATATATATCGAAAAGATAAAATAAAAACATAACTGATATGAAGAGAAAAATAAATAAAAAATATAGAAAATCTAATAATATCAAATAAAACTTTTCTTCGGGATGATAATCTATGTAGGGACATCTTGGCAGTGTCTTGGCCAATGAGAGAGAGAGTTTCAGGATCTTTCTTCGCCTGCCCCTTTCTTCACTTATAAACTTGTGAGTTACTTGAAGTAGTTGGAGCTGAAACGAAAGAAAATAAGTGAACGAAGTGAACATTGTAAGATGTAGGGAGCAATTTTCTCCCTTTCTCTTAAACTAACAGAGAGAGAGACCCCAAAACCCTCTACCTAATGTTAATTTTTTATATCAATGTAACATTCATAATCCATAAACCATCGGTCAAAACAGTAACAAACTCGCTGACACTAATAAAAAACTGAAAAAAGTATTATATCGATTTCCCAATTATCACCCTAAATATAAAAATTATATAATTCATACATACATACATACATAATAAAAATAATGGTTGCCCATCTTGTAACGAGGATGGCCGGCCCCCACCCAGGCGTGAATTTTACGGTGAGGTAAGGTGTAGAATCTGTCGCCAACACAGCAACCACACCCGAAGTTAATTAGCATGCTTCCCTGTTGGGCGCTGTTAACGCTTCTGCGTCAACTGCCAGTATTTATGTGTCTCAGTGTACACCCTCACCTATTGTCTACCGTCAACTGCCAGTGTGCATGTGTTTCAGTGTACACCTCCACCCACTGTGTCACGTCAACTGCCAGTATTTATGTGACTCAGCGTACACCCTCACCTATTGTCTACCGTCAACTGCCAGTGTGCATGTGTCTCAGTGTACACCTCCACCCACTGTATATTTTACAGCACTTCTTGACACCAGGTTTCACCGTAAAAAAAATGGCTGCTAATGTCTAAGGTTTATAATTATGTAGTGACAGAATTATTTGATATATTATGATATTGGACGACTCTGTTGGATATATAACACAATATCTATGGATAAAGAACGGGAGCCCAAGGGATAAAAAGACCTTGAGGAAAAGTACAACTATCAGACGGATATAAGATGCCGCTGTGTAAGCAGGGAAAAACTTAGCAAAGATATGTACAGTAACATATTTCTCTTCTCTGTCTTCAGTATAAACAAGAACGATTGTTGCTGACACACCTATAACACATAAGATCACTCACCACTTAGGTACATATTTCGGGTCTTGACAGGACAGTGTCTCCTCGTCGAAGACCGTACTGTCTCCGCACCCGACGAGCCTTGGTTGGCCGTCCACGCACACGATGTAGCGGCCGCAGTCTCCTGAAGGATACCTAGGGAAGGGCAAGAACTTGGCCGCTGGATCCTTTGAGTCCACATAGCTGGGGCAGGTGAAGCCGACGATGTCTGCAAGAAACAAGAGGTTTGTTAGAGGGTCGTGGTTGTTATGGTCTAATGTGGATATGGCACACTAAATACATTGTTTCGGTTTACAAGGAGGCGGAATGACTGGAACTGTATTCATCCACCTTCACTTGATTAGCTGAGTCGACAAGGGGTGTACAGGATGTGAACCGGTGACGGTGACTCTTGGAACATCAGGCGAGCGGTGGATCCACTCTGCCGTCGCACCAGTAAATGGAAATATCTGAGCGAAATTGCTCGTGATATTTTATTTTATTTTCCACAATTATATCGAGTATAACGAAATCCACATTGAATCTTCTGTATAGTAATTGGTGTCATTATACTTGCATTATCTGTCATTAAACTGTGTTAAGAATATAGGTATAACCAAATTTATCTTATGTAATTTTCGCCTTTGAAGTGCCATTCCATTGAATCATTCTTCTTCCACGAGGCTAAGGTGACTGAACATGCTGATTCAACTACCGTACAAGATAAGATATATCCAATTACGGCCGTGACAGACTGCCATGATGACGCCTTTACCTCAGACAACCTACGTCAACACCTTACAACTGCCTCTATGTTCTTAACGGTCGATGACTTAGGTGTTTCCGCTACTCACTCTGATCCTCTGATTCAGGATCGAATTAGTGTAAACAGTTATTATATATGGTGCAATAGAGTGTTTAAATCAGTTTAATAATCAGAAAAAATAAAATGGGGTAATAAATTTGCAATATGTTCTCCTGGAGTGAAGCACGTGCTGAACATGTCGTAGAGAATCTGTTGACTGGATGAACCATTTACATCTTCAGACTAGATTTATGAGGTAATGATGACAGGCTGTCATCAGCATCACAATCAATAATGATCAATTCAATACATATCAAACTTGTGTGGGCCAGCGTGGTCTTTTCCGCTTCTTCTCTCACGTTTAAAGCACAAGTGACATCTTTACCGTCCACCGTGAGGGGAGGTCACTACCCTGTGGTAGGATCATTTCATGAATTTCTTTCAGTTTTATGAAAATACAATCCTCTTCGCCTACATCAATACACGGGTTCCCCCATTCTCCTCTATGCCACCTTCCTCCCATTTCCATCTCTCCACATTTCTTCGTTCCTCTTCCTCACATTCCAGCCTTCACTTCAACCACATTTCTTCTTTGCTCTCTCTCCACATCATTTCTCTACCCTGCCCCCACCTCCCCCCCCGTAGCTCTCTCTCTCCACATTCCCCCCTTCCCTTCTAATCACATTTCCTCTTTCCCCTCTAGTTCCATTCCCTCTTCCCCTCTCCCCACACTCACCTGAAGGGTTGCAGTACTCCACCAGGTCGGGCCAGTTGCAACCATGAATTTTTTCGTCGTACACGAGGCCAGGTGTGCAGGGCTCGTCGATGGGGTTTCCGTACACGCATTTGAGGAAGTAGGTCTCACACGGTCCACCAGCGTACAGACCGAACTGGTACTCGCAATTCCCTTGACCCAGGGGAGTCACTGAGGGCACAGAAGTAGCGTAAGGAACGTATATTATATTATATTATGTTATAAATATATAAATATATATATATATATATATATATATATATATATATATATATATATATATATATATATATGTGTGTGTGTGTGTGTCTATCATGTAGATCCACAATGAAAACGTGGATAAGATAAATCTTGATAAAATCACACGGGAAAAGGGAAACAACGGAGCACCGTTGTTTCCCTTTTCCCGTGTGATTTATCATATATATATATATATATATATATATATATATATATATATATATATATATATATATATATATATATATATATATATATATATATATATATATATGGGGGTCGGCCCATACCCCGTGTCGTTAATACACGTTTAAACTTGGGGGCCTACAAGTGATAAGTTGTTATATAGTGTATATGATAGTTTAGTCACGGGTATAGGCTATGAACTGCCCTTCAAATACAAACCATGGCAACGCGGGTTCCGAGGTAAACTAATTGATTAACACAAATGATCTAAATGTTCGTCTGCTGTCTTAAGATTAAAGTGATATAATGAGTTTTTTAATTCTGTTCAACAGAATAGAGAATTTAACATGTATGAGTAAACGTTTAGGATCTCGAAATTGTTTATGAAAATGTTTCCCACGCTGCCCCCCCCTCCCAAATGATCAGAAAAATGTTTGCTTTGTATCTTCAAGTGTGAGGAAAGTATATACTGCCTCTAGAGTGTTGGGGAAAATCTGTATAAAAAGAAGATGCTTAGCACCTCAGACTATAACAATAAAAACCGTCGTGGATTTCCTCAGCAACACAATAAAAATCGATGTATACTCACAATCAGCCTTTCGGTCCTCGCAGTTAACGCCCCAGTGGTAGTAGCAGTGATTATAAACACTCCCCTTGCCGTCGTAGAGTAACCCGTTCTCACAGTACTCGTAGGTCAAGGTGCCGTTCACACACAAGTAGAATTCATTGCAGGAGGTTGGGTGAGGGTATGTCTGTATGCCTTCATCATATTCGCAATAGGTTACTTCTGGGTGAATCTGAGAATGACCTGTGGGGGAGATAGATAGATAAATAGATAGATATTTTATTGACCACAAAAATACATGCTTTATGAATGTAAACAATATAGATTATGGTCCACGATTAAAATCTTCAACAGAAAAACAACAAATTAAAATACAGTTAACTAACTACATACAGAGACATTATGATTCATAACAACTCTGGACTAATAAAACAATAAGTTAATTAAAAAAAGGGACACTAAGATCTTCAACTAGGAAATGGTAGTACATACTGTACACATGATACGAGCAAAACTATTACGTAGGTTCATTTACACTTAAACATAGAAGGCAAATATAGAATGAATGGCACTGCATACAACTTCATGGTCAGACCTTTCAATGAACAAGTTTTCTAGTGTTGTGATGTTGAAATGTTGGCGCAAGTGCAATGTTATGGGACACTCTTCAAAGACATGCTTTTCAGTCTGAATTTCACCACATGTACACAGTCGTTCTTTTATCGGCAAGCGGCCTCTACCGCGCCTGTTCCGGCGTCCCTCCTCTACAGCGAGGGAGTGGGCGCTTACTCGCACTCGTGTTCATGATATGAGCTCCACATCACGAGAAGAAAAATTGAGTGTGCTAGTAGTGGTTCTGTGGTGATGAGCAGGTAGAAGGTGAGGTGAGGAGAGAGTGGGTCGTGAGGTGAGAGGAAGGAGGTGTGATGAGATGAGGTGTGGGTGAGTGGTGAGTGGTGGGTGGAGGGAGTAGTGAGGTGAGGAGTGAGTGGGTGGTGATGGGTGGGTGGGTGGTGCGGTGAGGTGAGAGGAAGGAGGTGTGATGAGATGAGGTGTGATGAGATGAGGTGTGGGTGAGTGGTGAGGGGTGGGTGGAGTGGTGAGGTGAGAAGTGAGTGGGTGGTGAGGGATGGGTGGGTGGTGTGGTGAGGTGAGAGGGAGGAGGTGTGATGAGATGAGGTGAGTGAGTGGTGGTGGTGGGTGGAGGGTGTAGTGGAGGTGAGGTGAGTGGGTGGTGAGGGGTGGGTGGAGGGTGTGGGGTGGGTGGTGAATGGTGTGGTGTGGTGAAGGGTTGGTGGTGTGGTGGAGGTGAGGGGTGGGACTGGTGGTGAAGTGTGGTAAGGTGATGGGATGGTGGTTGGTGTGGTGAGGTGAGGGGTGGTAGGTGGTGTGATGAGGGGTGGGTGAGTGGTGAGGGGGTGTAGGTGGTGTGTGGTGAGATGAGGGGTGGGTGGGTGGCCTGGTGAGGGTGGGTGGGTGGTGTGAGAGGTGGGTGAGTGGTGGGGGTTGGTGGTGTGATGAGGTGAAGGGTGGGTGGCGAGGTGAGGGAAGAGTAGGTGGTGTGGTGAGGGGTGGGTGGGTGGGTGGGTGGTGAGGTGAGGGGTGGGTGGTGTGGTGGGTGAGGGGTAGGTGGTGTGCTGGTGTGGTGAAGTAAGATTGGGTGGGTGGTGTTGTTATGTATTGTATTAATAAATTCTTCGATTTTAAGTAAAGTGAAAAAAAAAAAATAATGGAACAAAAATATGATAAATATAAACTCGAATTTTGGGTTGCTTGTAAAGGATGTATTTAATTATCTATATCTATGTGTGTATTTGTCTGCCTATCTGTTTGATTGTTTGTTGGTCGGTCGGTTAAGCACATAATGGAGGAAACTGCATCTCTCTCTCTCTCTCTCTCTCTCTCTCTCTCTCTCTTTCTTGAATAAAACAGAAGCCAAGGATATAATAAATACCTCAGCTAAAACGACAAGTACAGTAACAAGAGACACGACACACCTGTCCACAGTATCACCTACAGACTTGTGAAACTTAGCAGGTGAAATGAGACCGACCAGCCTTGAACACCCATGAGGGGAGTCTTCTGGTGAGGGGAGGGGGTGTAGGGTAGGGGAGAGGTAGTTGAGTAGGTTGTGTAGAAAGAGGGGGTGAGGTGGAGGAGGAGGAGGAAGGTAAGGTGGTGGAGGATGAGGGGTTAGGTGAAGGATGAGGAGGAGGGGTGAGGAGGTGGAGGAGGAGGAGGAAAGGTAAGGAGGGGGTAATGTGATGGAAGAGGAGGTGTGGTGTGGGCGTGGTTCTCCTGGTAGTAGGGTCGACTCTGATGGCTACATTGCTGTGGTTACCGATCAGTGTATAGGGAAGGGAATATGGCACAATCTTCTATCTGTTTCTGTCTGCCCTTCTCTCTGTATTTGTCTGTATATTTCTTTATGTCTGTCTCTTTCTCTCTCAGTCTGTTTGCTTGTCTGCTTCACTCTTTATGTCTGTCTGTTTGTCTGTCTGTCTGTATGTCTATATGTATGTCTGTCTGTCTCCTTTTCCGTCCTTTCTTTTTGAGTTATTATTTTTGTCAGTGCGATTTCTTCTGGACGAAGATGAAGAAGAAAATAAGAAAAACAAATTGAAGATGTAAGGAAAAGATGAAAAAGACGATAGAAAGAAGAAAACTAAGAAAAAGAAGAAAATAAGGTACTGGAGAACTATCACCACAATACAACACCAACATTGGAACTACTGGTACCTTTGGGGGGAATTCCTATGAATCATTTACTCCAGAAAAATCACCATAACGTAGAAATTCCTTATATTTGTATGACTCTGGGAAGTAAAGGTTATTACAGAAGTTATAAAACCTCGTATGTGTGTTTATATTTTCAATTATTGGTAAAAAAATGAATAGAAAAGTCTTGTTATAGTATTCAGTCTCAAAAATTGCAGAAGTTTGATACGTTTGATCTGAAAAAAAAAACAGGCGTATTTTCCGTGTGTTTTATATGAATTTGTAAAATGAAATACCACATCAATCCTAAAAAAAAAATAGAAAATAGTCCAGATGTGTACATAATTCCGCAACAAGCTAATAGCAATTCTCAATCTGTGTAATTCTCTCAGGGAACGATCACATGGAGTCACAATATTCAAGACACAATGAAATGAACTACAAGTAAACCCTAAATGTTGACGATTTTTTTTATTTCTGACCTTTATAAATTTCACCCAAAGAGAGTAACTTTCTTAGTCATTTCTCGCCTGTGTGTAGTGGCGGGCAATTCGGATTAGCTTGATAGGTCTTATTATTGAGAGAACAGTTGGTAAAAATTTTGGTTTTTGTGATTGATCTTTGACCTATAAAAATTTGATTTAGACCGTAAATAAGTGAATGTACGAAATGAAAAACGAGAGAAGATGATGAAAAAGAAACACTAAAAGTCTCAAATATCTTTCCTTCATTTTGGTGTTAGGAAAAGAATAATGGAATTCAGAAACTTTTAATATTGAATGTCACACTACAGAATCGTAAGCCACAATAATTAAAGTAACTGTTAAGACTTATATGCGGTTTATCGAGTGTTTGAGACTGAAAATAAACTTTGTGGTTGAGTGAGTGAAGGTGGTGGAGGAGACAGCAGGCTCAAGGACTCCCACACAGGTAAAGGGCCACTTTCACTCCACCTGCAGCAGCAATGCCTCCCACCACCCTCCCTCACCTGTCTCCTCCACCCAAAGCTCACTAATCGTCTGCAGCTAAATATCCACTCATCCACCTCTTCCAATTCCCACCACCACCTCCCCCATCTCCTCCACCCACCGCTTATCACTTATGCACCTTCCCCCTCCCCCACACTTCCTCCACCCCACCTTCTCCACCCACTCACCCACCCACCCATACATCTCCTACATTCCCTCCGCACCACTTTCTCCACCTGCCAACCCACCTCACTCCACTCTTTCTCACTTCACCCTCCCCCAGACAACCATCTCCTCCACTAGGACTACCTCTCCCGACCACTTCTAACACGATGCCACCCAATGTGTACCGTTCCTCAGCCACTGTGTGTCCTAACTTCCAGAAACATATTAGAGAGAGAGAGAGAGAGAGAGAGAGAGAGAGAGAGAGAGAGAGAGAGAGAGAGAGAGAGAGAGAGAGAGAGAGAGTAACGTACCATTCACTTGTATATTTCCACAATCACACAATTACGTAAAAAAAAATCCGCCAATTGACTTTCTCATTTTACTTTACGTGGAGTCACTGTCGACATTTTCTCACAGTCCTTACAAAGTTCGGCCCAGTACACGTGATTAATGCTAATAACACATTAACGGGCCCTAACAACAGTGGCCCTGAACAATACATCAATAAGTCAGTTTCACCACTGGAGAACAAACAAAAACTAAGGAGGAAATATGACTTTCTTATTACAGTTACGTCATCTGGACTCTGTTAGAGTTGAGTTGTCAGGTAGTAAATTCCAGACGTTTTATTGTATTAATCGTGATTTTTTTTCTTTTATGCCAGTCTAGCAATCAGTCATCCTGCCAGGTACTGTCTGTTCTTATTCGTCTTAAACTGTCTTTCTAAGTTTAATGGTAATCTGATTGTCTCTTGTTTGTATTCTGTCTTCATTATGTTTTGTTTTTGTTTGTTATTTTATTTGTTTAAAATAATATTAATATTCTTTTACTTCATAGTTCTCTCTCACACACACACACACACACATAATGCTGGTCTTAAAGTTTTAAAATAAAATAAAAATAGTGACTCCAAAACAAAATTATTATTATTAATTAATTATTATTATTATTATTATTATTATTATTATTATTATTATTATTATTATTATTATTATTATTATTATTATTATTATTATTATTACAACTTTGCTGTCACTCGGAATCGAGTATGACGATTATCCAGCTATGATACGATGATATGAGTTATTAAGGCTGTCACCTAAATTGGTGAGTTTTGAGGTGACTAAAGAGGTCGATACGGGACCGACAGAGTCGTTCACATACGTTGCACATGTGGAGGGCTGCATCTAGTGCGGGAGGGGCGGGGCGGTGACAGTGTCTTTCCGTCGTTGGCGCTTTTCTGCCTCGGTTTGCAGTCGGGCTAACTCGAAATTATTGACACCTTCTCGTGTGGTGCTCCTCCAAACATTACGATGCAGAGTAATCGACTCCCAGGTGAGGGAGTCGATTTAACACTTTTTCAGGTTTGTCGTGAGACAATCCTTATACCTT